TGTCTTTCTTCAATCCCTGCCAGTATATCAGCGTAGTCTTCAACTAAACAAGCCCGAGATTTTAGTCAATTATGAGGTCATTTAAACTAGAACATCATTATATTTCCTAACATGTACTTTTTGTGAGATGTTTGTTTGGTGGTGTGCCGTGTGGTTTGTCCTGATGATATATTTGTGCCGTCGCTCAAAAAAGGTTGGGAAACATTGTCCTACCCTATGCTTTACAGCCAGTATCAATTCTTATAGGTATGTAGTACAAATACGTGAAACTTAGTATGCAAAACTTCAGATGTACTTTTGAGGTAAGTTTTAAATTAGATTTTCTTTTTAATATAAATGCCATGGTAGAATGTTATTGTGTAATAATGTTGCATCATTAGTCGTCTATCTATAATAATAATATTAACAACAACAACAATAATCATAAGTTGACAACAATGGCTAAAAACTACATCACTGCCAACTCAAAAACTTTTCCACAGAGGTTTATGTAAACCTTTTAAATAAACAAATACCTCTGTCGAGGTATTTGTCCAAACGAAACAACAATAGGAGAATACAAGTATTTATAGACATTTTGAACACCAACAATTATATACAACATCCTCTTAAAATCTATAAAAGTACATCACAGAGTATGCCTACTTTCTGTAAATTCCCCGGACATTTAAACGTACTTTTTCAAGTACGCATGCGCTTGTCATAAAATTTGAAAACTTTAACTTGACCCTAAAGCCCGCCCACGCTGAGAGCCGATTGGTGGTTTTAGAAAAACTAACCAATCAGGATACAGGTAAACACACAAGCACAGTCTCACAACAAACAGAGTTTGTCTTTCTCTATATTTCCAACGCGCTTTTTCCACTGTAATTTTTTTAATTAAAAAAAAAAAGTATAAATTCACGAAAATGTATTTAGTTTGCTGGCAATTACGCAGCCTTCGGCGCTGTCAATACGGAGGGGTCTCCCGGAAGTTCCGCGAGGAAAGTCTGCAAATCAGTGTCATATAGTTATGTAATCGCCTATGTGACATCACGACTGTATTTGAATTACTGTGCAGCACATTTAATGATATGCATTCTTCGATTTACGGGAATTTGATGGTCTAAGAGATATTGGATTACTAAGAGATGTATAACGTTTTATTTTTGAATATGTAAAATCAATTAGAAAGGACGGTTAATGAGGAAATATAGGCGACGTCGGCTTCCCTGCACTTCTAGTGGCCCATTATATGATTGAAACGAAAAATTTAAAATAAAGGTCAATGCATTTAACGTAATAGTTTAAGGGCAGGACAAATCCCTTTTTTGTCATGTTTATTTTTATGTTAACATTTTAATTAATAAATCATTTCAAGCATGGCTGTTTCATACGTATTTTCCTTTTCAATTTAGGCTCAACTCAAAGCAGAAACAAATTTAAAATAAAAGTCAATGCATTTTTAACGTAATAGTTTAAGGGCAGGACAAATCCCTTTTTTGTCATGTTTATTTTTATGTTAACATTTTAATTAATAAATCATTTCAAGCATGGCTGTTTCATACGTATTTTCCTTTTCAATTTAGGCTCAACTCAAAGCAGAAACGCTGTCACGGCTACTTGTAACGTGACGAAGAAGGATGAGATTAAATAATGTTGCAGCTGTGCGCGCGTGTGCGTGTGTGTGTGTGTGTGTGGAACAGTTACAAACACATATGGACGCAGTCGCTGCTGCTGCTGCTCTGCTAACCTCTCACCTACATCATACTTCTCTGCACAGCGGCGGCGCTACAGCCTGCTGCTGATATCTCTGCCCAGCTGTCATCCCCGGCATTGGTCCACCGTGCAGACACACGTAGGCGCGCATCCGACCGACCGACCAACCCCCTTTTTCTCCCGGCACAGACTGAGACCGAGGAGCCGGTGAGCGGCGGTACAAGCAGGCGGTTTTATGAATTTAATCCCGTTGCTGCGGCTTTGAGGACGAGGCCAAGGTCTCCCCTGATCGAGTAAGTATATGAAAGTCGAACGATGGTCATTTTTAATAGTGTTGTTATAAACAATTTGCAGCAAACGCAGAGGAAAAAAAATTGTTTTCCTTTAGTAGCGGAGGGAGGAGGGAAGCAGAGGGGAGGGGATCTTTGAGCTGCGTTTTCTGTGCTGCTCGATCTTGTGCAACTTGCATTGGAACTGGCTTGTTTAATTGTGTTCAATTCAAATCGACGTTATGTTTTATGTATGCATTTTATCCCGGGTGCAAGTATCTGTTATGGTAGCGGTTAAAGACATGAAAAACAGTGATATGATTTTTTTAACAATTGTTTCCACTGTTGTGCAGACTTAAGTAGCGTCACTACAATTGCCCCTTGCACCGGCCTTTGTTTGTGTGACTTGACGCCTTAACGAGTTTAAAAATACAGATATTTTCGACATTATCCTTCTTGGCCGGCTCAGTCCCTCCCAGCGAAACTCGTGCCCAAACACGTTGACCAGCGGGGAGGTGTGTACATCACCGGAAGAGCCTGGCCAATCAGGGAAGGTCCCCCGCCCACCCCGAGCTTCTTGTTTACTATTAAAGCTCGCCGCTGATTAGTCGAGAAATGGGGGAAGTCAGACTCTGGTGCGTTTACGTGTGCAGTAAAGTATTGGACTTTACAGATCTTCGTTTAAAAAGCGCTGCAGTTCAGCGGCATTTTGATAAATGAACAATTTTAAACTATCTTTGCAGTAGTAAACTTTAATGTCACGTTACATATTGGTTATTGTGTTTCACTTGTGTTACACAAACTTACATGTTTTGGTTCGTTTTGTTTCAAAGTTTTATGGAATTCAGTTTCGTTTTTTTGTTCCTCATAAGTTTCGTCGTAGAACGCGTAGTCACACGTTGTTCAAAAACTAAATATATAGATATAACTAATAAACAAAGTCACTTCAGACCTTCGAAACTGAAGTAGTGTAATGTTTATCTGTACAGTCCGTTACACTTTATTAGTATACGAGAATTAAATGATGGGAATGGAAAACGAGGTGAAAAATGGTTGCTCGAGGCCACTCAGCCATTTCAGTAGAGTTAATTCCATGTCTTCTGAATGCAGCAGTGTCCCCGTTTTATTTTTAAGGACGTCAGGCCATGGTGAAAGGACGTCAGATTAAGACTGCAGAACACGTTATCAGTGTCAACAGAGTGGGCAAGAAGCACAAATGGGTCCAAATTCAGTGTGTCTGTGTG